TTCTAAAACAGAATTTGTTTAACAAGGAAATATCAGTCTACTGTGCCTCTAGATCAGTTTTTTAGTAAATGGTAGAAGGAATAAGAATGACTCTTCCTAGGATGAAACTTTTTTTATAGCCTTAATGACTATGTCATTGAATGATTTTAAGTTGTAATGCAATTTTCTTCCTAAGAACACAAAAGGTGTCCAGGGTGATTATCTTAATATGCCCTCATTCTGTTCCTATGATGTTTCTAGGATTATAGATGAGGCCAAAAAAAAAAAAAAAGAATATGTTGTGAGTACTACCAGATTAGTTAGATAAAGAATCAAGGCCATAACTAGGCTTCTGGTTGGATGGATCCTCCCCCTGTCTCATTCTTCCCCATTAGACTGTAAATTCTGACAAATGAGAGTAGGATTTCCGAGGCATGGAGACTCTGAATATGCTGTGGTAATCAGGCAGCATGCACTAACATTTTAGAACTATACTTTGCTTCCTCTTAAATAGAGAAAAACAGAGAACATTTTCTTTTGTCACTGTAACATGTATAATGCAACATGACCCTACCTGATTTTCACATTTATAGGGAAACTGGCATTACTGGAGATTAGTGCCAGGAAGGAGAAATGACCCTGTTATCTCCATAATGGCCATAGTGTGCTTCACAGGGAAATTGCATCAATAGGAGTAAGTGGTTATTTACTTGCAGAAGCTTTCTATTCATGTTATTAATATAGTTAGGCAGAAGGAACTGGAAAGTGCATATAGGAATGTAGGAAGGTCATTTATGGGTTTCAGTGTTCATCTGCAACATCATATAAATCTGTATTTTCTTAGATACATGTGCAAGAACACACTTGGTTTTACACCTCCATTTCTTTGTGTATGTTCTTTCTATATGGAATGACCTCTGTTTTCTCTGGTAAGGTGTCTGTCTCTAGGACCTCCATCAGTTGTACCCTCCTTGGTGAAACCTTGGTCTTTATAACTGGGTTGGTGCCTCTCTCTGTATTCTTAGAGCAGTTTGTTCTTGTTGCCAATATCAAGTTTTCATTTTTGGCTTATAATCTCTTTCTATCTTTATAACTCCTGGTTGAGTCTGTGCCTCTCTGTAGTGTGAACTACCTTTTAAAATTTCAGTCCAGCATCTCACATGATGCCTACATATACTGGGTACACAGTCATCATTAATTGAATAAATGTATCTTGTACATGGTGTGTATGTCATTACACACCCTGTCTCTTTCAAAACTATGTTCAATGTGGATTATTAGAAGAAAATTGGAAGAAAAAAGGAGAAGGATGAGATATAAAGTGATAAACATGAGCTAATTCATGCCATGAATATCTAAGTGAATGTGTAGTATGCACATAAATTCATTGCATGTACAAGGAAGCATATATGTGGAAATTTTATAATGCACTTTAAAAAACTCTATACTGATTCTTTTATATATTTTTTTTATTTTTCTAAGTACATACATCATTATGTATTTGGTGCTGAGGGATTTCTCTGTGGAGTGTTCATTAATGCTGAGATTTGAATGTGATCAGCTTGTGGTAAATGGAGCGGGCTCAGTTAGTTCCACTTCTGTGAACATAAGAATCTGTAGCATGACCATACACAGTGCTCTTTAGCTCCTGAAGAACTGCTCTGATGCTAGTTGCCTGCTCTCTTTCTGAAAGCACAGAGCAGTGGGGGTAGACCTGCAGGAATGTTAATATGAAATAATAACCTTCTCTTGGAATAAATAGTGTTTAAATTAATGTAACTACAAAGTACCTCTGAATTTCAGCTTGCTCTCCAGGTGATTTGTTTGCCAAGTTTAAATAAATGAACATATTAAAATTGTGTTCTTATTTTCCTGCTGTCAAGATTAAACCAATGCAAATTTAAATAGTTGTTTTTTGTTTTTTCTTAATATAAGCCTCTCCCTGAGTCTAATTCTCTGCATGACGTATTTTAAGTAGAGAGTAAGGCTTTGTTTGGTATGTTATTCCTTAATTAATTGTTAAAATAGTGAAGACTTATTATTCTGGGTAATTTATTTAAGACAACAGTCACTCCCTGGCAGCTTTTTAAAGGAGATAGTCCAAGATGCTAACTAACTCATTTGTTTTGCTATGCTATCCCTGGGAGCTCTGTGTTCCAAAGATTTGCTAATCACCAGTTGGGAACTGATTTACAAGGCAGAAAATACAGGACTCTTGAGTGGTGCACTGATTCATAAGCAAGCTGGAATGTGTACTGGCTTCAAGCCTTGTCTACTGGCATGCAGATCTTGCTGCCAGCCGACTTGATGATGGAAAAATGCCTGCTTGCTACCTCTGGCCAGATGTCATTAGTGTTGTTCTTGACCCTCACATTGGTTAATTGCTAAGTAGAATATGCTACTCGAGTTGAATATGTCTCCTTGACTGTTCACTTGTCCAGCCATTTATCCATCCATCCTTTCATCCATTTATAGATCCAGTACTGGGATCAGGCTATCAGGGAATGGGTTGGAATTAATATCTGGAAACATTGTTTATAATCGGAATTAGCTGTCATTGTCTATAAAGAAACAGTGAATATTTCAGGTTTATAGGTCATTTTGATTCTCTTAACTACTTAGCTTTCTGTTGTAGGTCGAGAACAGCCATAAGTAATATGTGGCATGGCTGTGATCCAATGCAGGGTTGTTTACAAAAAAAAAAAAAATATTTGTAAACAGTAGCAAAGCAAACAAGTAGATTGCTTGTCCTTGGATTAGACAGTTGAAGTATTGAACTCAGTATAGTTTGTGTGATATGCAAAAAAGTGTTTGTATATCACACAAGCTATACTGAGTCCAGTGCTTTAATAAGACACTTTAATAAAGCTTTGATACTTAAATGTTTTCTACCATTGTTTATGATATTTACCTACAAGAAGTAATTTTATAGGTTTTGCCATTTTTCTTTTTCTTTTTCACTTAAACATTAATCATTTAAAGTCTATTCAGTTCTCTCTGGTACTGGTTATTGATATGTCATTGGATTATTGGATTGGAAATGTAAGAAAAAAGGAATAAAATTCCAAAGTATGTCACTGTAATATCATTAAATTTAGTAGTTTTGGTTGTAAAACTGTATTTTGACATGAAAACATTGCCAAGATATATTGCTAAGTAAAAAAAAAAAATGTCGATTGTTAAAAAGGTTCTGAGCAATGTGATTCTATTTGTGAAAAGAATAGAATAGGCCTATGTATATTTGTACTTGTATATTATAAATACCTGAAAATATAACCAATCAGAGCACTTAGTTTTCAAGCAAATGAAATAAACTGTGCTCAGTTCAAATAGGGATGATTTATTGAAGCATACTGAATAGCTCACAAATCTCTGATGTGCCTCAGGTTAGCCATAGAGGCCACATATTTAGAAGCAATACAGAATAACTGGTTCTGCAAAGATGCCCCAGTAAGTGTCAGTGAGCACTTTGCTGCCGTCTGAATCACTGATGCCACTGCCTGGATGATGAATTTGCCTCCACTGTTTCTACTCTAGAGTGGATTCTGGACAGTTGCTGCTTTTTTGTGTAATCACCTTCCAATTCAAAGTCTGCTGTAGGTGAATTTGATTGGCAGAACCAAAGTTTTGGACCTAGCTGCAAGGGAAACTGGGAAAGTGAATATGTGGAACTCACTTCTGTAGTGGACAAAGGGTCCTGCTTCATAAGGAGGGGGATTTACCAAATGCAGGGGAAGGATTCAGAAGTTCATTGCTAGGAAGAATGGGAGCTGTGCACTGGAGACACCAGGAAATTGTTCACATTGGTTACTTCTGGGCAGAGGAGTTGAAAGGCCTGATGCGGGAGCCCAGGGAGGGCTTTTACTTTCATTTTACTTTTCTGTGCTCTTTGTATGTAATAGTATAATAAAAGGACTGTGGGGAAAAAAACAAAAAACAAAAACAGTTTTTCCTTAAACTATTATACTATTCTCAGAACTTAAGAAAATTCTTCAGGCTAGTCAATTTCTTCAACTTCCTACTTTATTTCACTTTATACAAAATACATGTATGAAGATGTGAATTTGGTGTCAACATACCTTATATATAATCAGAGGTATGATAAATTATGATAAAATGATGTAGTAAGAATTGTAATGCAATAAATAAATAAATAAATAAATAAATAAATAAATAAATAAATAAATATTTGAATAAGTAAAAAGATTTACTCTGCAATTTCCCCTGATTCAATCAGTTCTATATTATATGTACCTTGTTGGGCAGAAAAATCATGAAATTTTTAAAACCTCTGGCATACCAGTGGTGGCTTCTGCTTTTGGGTTGGTGGAGCTGATTTTTGAGGACTATAATATTCAACTTTGAAAATTGAGTGTTATCAATTAGTATAATTAATGAAGTGTTTATACAGGCAAGGTGTAAAAATAAAATACACTTAAAAATTTGGTTCTACTATGTGTGTTTTCCATAATTTTTGTACCTGCCCCCCCATATATTTGCTGCTTGATGGAAAATTGGTGTGAAAACTTAATTTGGCTCAATAAAGTTTTAGCAAATATAGTAACAATTTAAAAAAAACCTTTTAAAAAGAACAGCTTTAGGTTTATAGAAAAAATATGAAGATAGTAGAGTACTCATCCACCTGCATACCCAATTTTCTCTATTATTTACATTTTATGCTGAAATTGCTGCAATTAATAAACCAAAGTTGACACATTATTATTGGTTAATTCCCATGCCTTATTAAGATTTCCTTAGTTCATAACTAAAGTCTTTTTTTCTGTTCCAGTGTAGCTGATATATTGTATACATTTGCATTATATACTTTTAAATTGTTCTTATTAATCTGAATAGTAATGTCATGGAACCATATAATAAATGCTATTTCTATTTAAAATAATGTATGGAATTTGGAGAAAAAATGAAGTTTTGTCATAGTGAGGTTCATATACTTTTTCATGCACCAATGTCACATGAGAAAATAATAATTAACCTTTTGTTTCTCCCCCCAATGTATTTAGTGGAGCAGGTTCCTGTAGAACCATACAACATCCCACTGTCGCAGGCTGAAGTCATACAGGAGGGGAGTGATGTTACTCTTGTTGCCTGGGGCACTCAGGTCAGTAACCTTGATTTCCAACTGTTAAAGCCCATGTTGTGCTTGGGAAGCCCTTATTTTTAATCCTGATATATGAAGAATTGAAAATTATATTTTCTTTTTTTCAATCTGTCTTTAGTTGTTAATGAACCTTTATTTTATTCATTTATTTATATGCGGTGCTGAGAATTGAACCCAGTGCCTCACGCATGCTAGGCAAGTGCTCTATCACTGAGCTACAACCCAGCCTTGAAAATTATGTTTTCTTTATATCTCAAGTCTGTTTGGTACCACTGATGCTGCTCCCTATCAATTTTATTAAGGTATAATTGAAAGATAAAAATTATATATATTCAGGATATACAGAATGATGATTTGGTATATGACTACATTGTGAAATTATGTGACAATCAAATTAACACAATTATTACCACATGCTAGTTGTGTGTGTGTGTGTGTGTGTGTGTGTGTGTGTGTGTGTGTGTTGAGACACTTAGAATTTACTCTCATTCAATTTCAAAGAAATAGTATAGTATTAGCTATAGTCATCATGCTGTACCTTCAGTACTCAGAACTTACTTATATCTGAAAGTTTGTGTTACTGATTTCTGATTGGGGTGAGGTACTTATTCTGTTATATTAAAATATATAAGCATGTGGTGAAGTAATTAAAATATGTTAAATGTTTGTAAAAATGTTTTCATTAAAAATGCTTTGATGCACATTTTGCATATCCCCACCACTTATTGCTGCACTTATCTTTTTCATCCCCTTCCTTCCATCCCTCATTAATTTGCTGGCCATGTGGATCCACCCAGTGGTCTAGCCACAGAATCCTATGCCTTTCCCTTTTCCTGGGACTTCTCCATTGATCCCCCTTAGCTTTACCTAGTATTTATGGTCACATTTCTCTACCTCTAACTTTTTTTTTTTTTTTTTTTTGAGATGGGTGCCTGCTACATTGCCCAGGACAATCTTGAGCTCCTGGGCTCAAATATTTCTCCTGCTTCAGCCTCCCAAGTAGCTGGGACTATAAGTGTGTACCACTGCACCTTGTCACCTCCAAGCTCAGGGCATTTTATGTTTGGTTGTGGACTCCTATCTCTTATATTCCTCTCTCTTCTTTTAAAGAAATCATCAGATTTTCTGTGCTAAGGAAAAGCTATTTAAGAAAATTTAAGACAGCATCATGTAAACACAATAACAAAAGTCATTTGCAGTGTCAGAAGCTCCTCTCTCCACCTGATTTTGGCTTTGAGCTGCAGTCCTTGTGGCTTATTTGCAGTGAGGTAACTGCTGCCTGGGGAGTCACACTCATTAATGGTGCTCATGGTGGTTGTGCTGAACCTTTTTTTTGTCCTCCCTCAGATGACTTTTTAATTCCCATTCCCCGATGGTGACCTTGTTTCTCTTTTAATGGGGTGTGTTTGGTACTACCTCCCATAGCTTACTCTCCCTTACACCCACCACTTTTGTGCTAATCTTTCCCTTCTTCCTTTAGTCTTTGAAGAGGAAGCGTCTGGTTTATTTATTTATTTTGTAGCTAGCACTACAAATCTGTTTCAGATCTGTTCCATTCTGTTCCATTTACTATCTCCGGGATTGGACCTGTTAGCTAGTCCCTCTCTCCTGCATGCTCAGTGCCTCCTTTCCATGTTGCTTTTATTAAAAGGGCACATCTCTTCACTCTTTGAACAATGATTTCCCCCTTAAATGCCATCATATCTTTCTGCTCACTTTTATTGCTAAACTGAACTACTGTTTTCTACTTACATTTAAGTTAATTCTTTAACTTCCCATATGTCTTTGTACTTAGGAGTTATGTTACCACTAATGAACTAAAACTGTTTTTTGTAATTTTCTAATCTCCATTTTAAACCAGCTCCTTTTCCCATTCTTAGGTATAGACATTAGCTAATTTCTCTATGAAACCTGTTTGTTTTTAGCTTCTGGGGTACAGTGACTCCTATTACCCCTTTCCCTATCTCTTTAATATTTTGTTTTTGTTTTGTTTTTAGTGAACCCTTATTCTGCTATTTCCCTTAAATGCTGGTGACCTACAGGGTTCCATGATTTTTGCTTTTTACTTCTCTCTTTACATGCTTTTCCTGCAAGTTCTATTTCTGTGCTTTACTTACCTTCTGTGTGCTACCTTTGGAATCAATATCTCTGACATTGGCTTCTTTCCTTTTCATAAGAAGGCCTTTACAGCTGTTTTCTAGACATCTATATTTGATTATTTTGGTGAAATATGGAAGTCAATATGTCTAAGACAAATTTATGAATTCTCTGTGCAGATCAGTTTCTCTGACTGTAAACAGTAGCTCTCTGATTTTTAGGTTTGAATCTTTGAATTTAGTCATTCTCTGCATACTTTTCTCCTTCTTCTAGGTTCATGTGATCCGGGAGGTGGCTTCCATGGCACAAGAAAAACTTGGGGTGTCATGTGAGGTCATTGACCTGAAGACTATAATACCTTGGGATGTGGATACAGTTTGCAAGGTATAAATATAATGTTGATAGAACATCATTTCTTCAAGACATTGTGTCATACTTATTGAATATTTGCAAAGAATTGTTTTGTGGTGGTGAGCTGCATGAGCATTTTCACCTGATTTAAAATTTTTAAATTTGTAGTGTGAAAGGAATGAATGCTGTGTCATCAGCTTAATGCCCAAGGAATCAAATTAGAGTTTTTTTTTTTCCCTCTGACAGTTTTCTCTTTAAAATATTACAAAACTGAGCCTTTCATGTAGTCAGCTTGGGGTGAGTCATGTGAGCTATGAGGTGTTGCAAATAAGAAACTTTATCGTGGGAGTTGAAATCACCTGTTTTTTTTTTTTTTTAACTTCTTATTGGTTATAGCTCAATACGTTCAATAAGCAAGGTTTAATTTAGCCAGGTAAATGGTTTTGCTGAATTTTCATGCATCTTCTCTCCAGAATTGATGGGGATGGATTATTTTTTAAAAAACTTGCTCTCTTTATATCGCCTTAACATTGTGGATCACAGGGTGTTGTGTTGTAGGATTCTGGTTGCTCTGACTTAGAGCTTCTCTGTATCTTTGGCCTGATGAGAATGATCTTGTTCTTACTATTAATGGGATTTACATAGTCCTCTCTCAAGAATATCATTTAGTTCTCATATACTTATATATAATAGTTATCTTCTAATGTGGAGATAATTAAAAGTGTATCTGTCCTCATATTGGCATATAATAAACTTTAAGCTCTGTGATGGTTTCATCTTTTTAAGTCTAGGTAACAATCACTTTTTTTTTTTTTTAAATTTCCTAATGGAGTAGGATCCTAAGATCTATAGTATTTGTGATTTATTGTATATACTGTTTTTAGAGCTTTAGCAAGCTCAAAGCTATTGCATGCTATTTCTTATGCTATATGAAAATAAACTGTGGACACTACTTCTACAGATGTTTTTAGGTGAAGATTGTTTATAATTTAATGGAAGATTAAAGACTTGATACAGTAAATGTTTTTGTAGATTCATTGGCATCAGCAGAACACTTGACAGGATTACAAATGATTTTGATTTCAACAAGCCTAATCCCTCATGAGTGTAGTTGCAGTATTTCAGGTTGAATTATTCATAGCTGCATGAAAATAATTTAATGCTTTTTTTTAGGCATTTTTAGATCAAGTCAGTCCCTGGGTGTTTTCTTAAATAGCCAAATGCTCCAAATTCTGGTTAAATTGGAGCTTGCCTCTTGTTTTTAACACATTTGAGTTTGTGTTTTCAGGGTGGATGGTACTTCTGTATGGGGATATGATGTTTTGTCCTGGAGTGGAGAGGTATTCATATGTGATCAGGGCAAGCACTTTTTTTAATATACATATTTCTATACCTTCTACATTTAAAATGGATTTGTAGTATCTTACAGTAAAATACATAACATCACCCCAACTTGGTAATTATGAAAGTAAAGAGAGGAGAGAGAGAGGAAAAAAGAACATGGTAATTATTTATGTTTGTTTCCATTTGCTTTTTCCTTCCTGTATTAAATTTACTGGTTGCATCTTTTATGGTCCTGGAATGTCAACCCAGTGTCCTTAGGGCTCTGTCCTACTAGGAAAGATGAAAGAGGAGGCTGGAGTCCTCTACTGCATGAGACAGTGATGCATTAAACCTTGGACCTGTCAGTCTCATTTTCTTAGTCTTCTATTGGGATCCTTTCATCATGTTATTTTCCTGCTTGATGACCCTCCAGTTCTGACAGTGAAAGCCAGCCTGTCATTTCTTGATTACTTGGGTCTATTTGGGACTCTTTTTATTGCTGATTGTGGTACATCTCCTGTTTTTCTTTCATGTATCAAAAGAGAAATATTTTGGTAGTAAGCTTTTTTCCTTAGGATTTGAAAGAAGAGGGCCCTATAGCCAAACATTCGTATTAAAAATGATAGCTTTTTTAGTTTAACTAAAGTTAAGCTTCTCTTCTTCATCTTTATGAATTCTATAATAATCAAAATTTGTTTTTATGGTTCTCAGTGACATCAGTTTTTTCTAGTAGGATAAAATTCAGCTCTATTTGATGTATGTTAAACTTGATACCAATGTACATATTTTGGAATGCCTAATCAAAAAAAGCCTACTAAAGGTAAAAATGATGTGTTGAACACATTCAGTAGTATGCAGTATTCCATAAAGTGACTCTAGGATAGTTGAAAAGTTCATACTTTTTGCTTAGTCTTGGTGTGTTTGTTGTTTGGAAGATATGTATATGAAAACATTGTTTAAGGACAGACAAAGCAGCAGAGATTTTGAATGTTGTCCAGGGAAGTTACAAAACTGGAATTATATAAAATGAACTTTGTAGATCCAAATATATATATATATATATATATATACTTGATGATAAGAAGTCAGCTGTCCCAGTTATTCTTGGGTTATTAGTGAAGTGTAAATTTTTATTAGATTATAATCAAACATATGTTACAATTCCTATTGTGTCAATGGATGTGACAGTGAAAGAGTATGTAACAAACTAGTAAGACTAAAATTAGGCTAGTCCAAAAGAAGGAAAGGAGATTTGTACAAAAAACAGGTGGGTAAATAGAAAACTTCTTGTAAGATGAAAGATATAAACCTCCAAATAGAAGTAATTAAATAAATACAAATGAATTAAATAATCATAACAATTTTGTAAATGAGTTATAGGCTAAATGGACAAATTCCTGGGAAAATTAGAATCATTTAAAGTTGGTAAAAGAGCTATTAGAAAATCTGAATTGTCATTATCTGTTTAAGACATTAAATCCATTTTCAGTAACCTGCACGCAAAGAAAACCCTAGACTCATGACTTTACTGGTAAACTCTATAAAACACAATCTTTATACAAACTCTTATTGACAGTGGAACCAGAGGGGCAACTTTTTTTTTTTGTACCTGGGATGTAACCTAGAGGTGCTTAACCACTGAGCCACATCAGTGGCTTTTTATTTTATTTTTTATTTTAAGAGAGAACATTGCTAAGTTGCTTAGGGCCTCACTAAGTTTTGCTAAGCCTGGCCTTGAACTTGCAATCCTCCTGGCTCAGTTTCCCAAGTCACTGGATTGCAGGCATGTGTCACTGTGCCTGGTTAAAGAGGAAGATTTCAAGTACTTTTTGTAAGGCCAGCATAATCTTTATATCAAACCTATAGTACCCTATAATAAAATAAAATTATAGATAAACTTTTCTTATGAACATAAGTAATGTTCACATTCACAAACCAGTTTATGAAATTTCCCAAGTTAAAAGAAAACAAGATAAATAAAAATCTTGCAATATATAAACAGCAGTTATTAAAATTCCATATCTACTCATGATTACAATTTCTTGGCAACTATGAAATGGAAGTGAATTCTTTTATTCTGATGAAGAGTAGTCACAAAATGCCTGTAGCAAAAATAATATTTTCTAGTAAAAAGTGTGCAGTTTTCTCCTTGAGGTCAGGACTCTCTAGGGGAAAATATAGTGATACACATGTCAGAACTTTCCACAGAAAATTCCAAAATATTATTCAGGAAAATCAAAGATGCAAATAAACTGAATTCAATTTAGTTTGAGTACCTCTTATCCAAATGTTTGGGACCAGAAGTGTTTCAGGTTTTAGTTTTTAGATTTGGGAAATTTGCATGGATGTTGCCAGTTGAGCTTCTCTAATTCAGACATTTAAAATCTGAACTGCTGTGAAATCCAAAACTTTCTGAGCTTCACTTAGGGCTCAAAAAAGTTTCATATTTCAGAACATTTTGGTTTTGAGATTTTTGGATCAAGATATTCAACCTTGTACCCTGTTAATGGATTGTCAGGCCAAGAATAGCCTTGACAACCTTAAAGAAAAAGATTGGAGGTCGTAGTTACCAAATGTCAAGATGTGTCATGGCTGCAGTTATGACAGTGCTGAATTGGTATAAAGGTACACAGATAGAATCCAGAAAGAGATCTGCTGGATTGAGGACAAAGGTGACATCACAGTTCACAGTGGAACAGCTTGTTTTGTTCAGTAAATGATGTTCATTAATTAATAATGATTTCATGAAAATTAACCCTTACCACACCACCTTCAATTCCAGATGAATTGAAGATCTAATTGTAAAAGAAAGAATGATGAAGTCCTTGGGAAAAAGCATAGATAAATTTATTTATTTATCTATTTATTTATTTTTGGTATTTAGAGTTGAATGCAGGGGCACTTTACCACTAAGCTACATTTTCAGCCCCTTTTCTTTTTTATTTTGAGACAGGGTCTCACTAAATTGCCTAGGCTGGCTTCAAACTAGTCTCCTGAGTAGCAGGATTGACAGGAATGTGCCATTGCACCTGGTGTGAATGTCTTTATGATTTTGTGCACTAACAAAACCCTAACATTAAAAAAATAAGCTGCTGATTTCATTAAAATTAAAAAAATATTATCAAAAGGACATTAGTAAGAGACTAGACATGTGGAGAAACTCAAGGAAATTTAGATCATGAAACATTAAGTACTTTGACTTAAAAAATAGTTAAAAAAGCAAAAATAAATAAATAAGTAAACAAACATAAGCAGACATCCCAAGAGAAATATGGCCAAAGCTCTTGAGAAAGAGTTTCAGAAAGTAGCTGTCCAAATGGCCAATAAGCATATGAAAAATTGGTCAATTTTTCTTATCATCAGGAAATGAAAATTAAAGTTCTAATGTAATAGGATCAGAGACCTTTGTTAAATATTAAAATGCTAATGTTGGCAAGACTGTGAAGCAACCCATCTCTCATATATTATTGATGGTGCTATAAATTGGTACAACCAATTTGAAAAATTGTGAGTCTCCATCTAAACCCTGTAAACCAGCAATTCTACGTATCCCTTCATATGCAATCAACCAATCAATCAATCAATAAATGATTTATATGTATCAAATAGAAATGTACACAAGATAAGTACAAGAATTTTCATAGGCATACAGTTTCTTATAAATCTATACTATAAACTATTTAAATGCCCATCAACCAGAGAATGGATAA